CAAAGAAAAGGGAAATCAAATTCAGCTCTCCCCAGTAACTTCCTATGACTACCAGATCTATCTGAATACTACCATGACACCCAGTGTCCAAAAAACACCACCTCTTCCTGGAAGAAGCTCACTGCCATTCAACAGAGAAATGGCTCCACTAGCAAAATATGAACACAGACAAAGCAACTGTACATACACAACCATAAGAGCCATAACAACTCACCATAGCCCAGTCCAGCTGGGGGAGGAGCTGAGGATGAAGTTCAGTTGTTGTGCACTGGTTGGGGGAGGGCCATATTGCTGGAAGGTAGCTGGTTGGCTAACAGGTGTGGGTGCAGTGCCTGGTATGAATGGCTGAGATGCAGAGGGCCTGTGAGAGGAGAGAAGGAAAGAATTCAACCATTAGTGAGAGTTTCTTTTATGTGAGGAATTACAAGTTTCCATGCTTATGAAACGACTGAGTGTGTGACACACACCTCCTTGCTTTCAAGTTGTCGCAAAACCTGAGAACTAAGCATGCAGCCATGAAGTCAGATACACAGTACAATTACAGCTTCTGCGCATCTTTCAATATTCTGAAACACTTCTGCTACCAAACCCCAATGTCTCTCACAGCATCAGTATTCTTATCGATTCACATCACTACCCACAGTGCTTTTGGCGTCCCTGCAGTCTACTGGCAGAGTAGCAATGCTCTGCATGGCCAAGGGGGATACCTGCCTTGTACTTCTCAGTCTCACCCCCAGTTAGACTGGGACACCAGGACGATCAGCCATTTTGGGCTGTTGGAAAGGGAAATGCTCATTGTCAATCAATGGAGACTATGGCAGACAAATAAAGAAATGCTATCTAGCTCCTGAAAGGGTCCGTGCTCAGCCATCTTCTAAACATACTGGCATGTCAAAGGAAAACCCTCTGAGCGCCACAGGGGACATGAAGCCAGGAACAATGTTAAAAAAGTCAGTCCCACAAGGATGAATACGGTGAAGTTTAAAATAGAAGGATGATGAGCTGGAGCTAAGACAGGAATTAATGCGACTAAGAAAAATCAACATACAGAAGCTGAACAGGCTACTGGAGCATATGACAACCAAAATCTGAAGTTTTTGAACAGATAACAGTAACTACAGAGAGCCACTGTTTGCACTGAACTGTATGTATGAGTGTCTGTTTGTGCCACGTAGGTCCTTCTAGAAGCTTTCCAGAGGCAAACATTCAGATTGTGTAGCAAATTCTCCCTCCTGTGAAATGTTTTATATGCTTATCACATGACAGTATGGGAGGACACTCTCTAAGATCAATATGTAAAATCCACTGCAGGAAAACACACGGCTAACTTTTGGGCCTGCACAAAGCAGTGTATTCTTTCCACGCAAGAGAAATTTAGAGACAACATAAACCGGTTACAAAAGACAATCATTTTTGCCATGCTCACACTGCTTATGATTGCTTAATACTCATAAAGGGAGAGGGAGAGAAAAGTTATTCCATAGCTCAATGACTCATTTCCATAGTACTTGGGTTGAGAGTTTGAACTCCCCCCCCCCCCCCTTCAGACTTACACAAAAGAGACCCCAGCCACAGGCAGTAACTACCCACTTTCTATGCTTCAATCTTATTCTGGTCATTACAAAGACCAGAATTTTTAGTCTCCTTTCAGGGACTAAGTCTTAGAAGCATGTACGTCTGAATACTAAGTGGCCATTCTTAAAATTGGTTGGTTCAAAGTTTGGACTCCTTTCTAGTCACCTGTATTTTAAGTACATGCGATTCTTTAAATATGGTCTGCATCCAGGGGACGATACTTTCCCCTAAAAACCTAAAGACATCAACTCGGTACACATAATAACCCTGAGCTAGGTAACAGACAGACTGTTTCAGGAAGTGACATTAAGTCTCATGAGCTTGAAACTCTATTCTAAAGGAGTAAAAAAAACAGTTTAAACCTGATTTTCCAAGTGGCTGAGATGTCACTTCACACAGATGCCAAGGAAATGGGGAAAGAATCTCCGAGTTCTTTTGCTGTTTTGATTGCATTCCTTTCCATGTTAATGCAAAACAAAAAACTCTAAAGACATGTCAAAACCTCTTGCATGTCTTCAGTAGCAAAGAGATGAAAAGTGGTTTTGCCCTTTTTGGGAGGGTGGGGGAGGAGAGGAAAGAACTAGGGATGTTAAATATCAGTTAATTGAATAGTTGAGTAACCTCATGAATTCTTATCAGTTACTCGACTAGTCGATAGTCCCCAGGGGTGGGGCTGCCAGCCAGCGAGGAGCCCCCCCTCCCCCGCCCCGCCACTTCGTGCTCCTGCCTCTGTATCAGAGGCGCAGTGTGGGGTGCCAGGTGGGAGTTGATCTGTGAGGGGAGCCAGTTTAAAAACCAGCTCCCTCACGCACCAACTGCTGGTTGCCCCGCACTGCTGCCTCCTACGGGAGCTGAGCTGGGCCGCCTGCCTGGCTCCTAATACATTGTAAGTGCAACAGTGGGGGTAGGTCCCAGAACCTGCATGGGCCAGGACTGAGCCAGGCTGCTAAAAGATGTACTGGCAAGGTGTGGGGGGAAAATGCACGTAGTCTACAGCATTAACCTACAAGCTTTTGCTTGTCGGTTAATCGACTCCACTGTTACATCCCTAGAAAGAAGTATTGCACGCTAGCAGCTGAGAGAGTCAAGGTGTCCCAAGCTGCTCCTATGACTTGATCTCCTTACAAATACCTTTGCATCTGGACTGCTGAAGCTCCAATCCCATTCTGCACATCTCCTTGCCCAAACTGACTATACACCGGCTGGCCAGCAGGAACAGGTGCTCCAGAGGTTGGAGGGGGTGCTCCAGAGGGAGGAGGAGCCCTTAATGCACCTAGGGACACACAGAAATTTTAATTGCATAGATCACCTCTCAGAAATCTACTAGCACTGACCAAGTACCCCCAAAACTAAGGGAAACAAGAATCCATGTGCAAGAGGAGATGAATCACGTGTGAACAAAGACTGTGTCTACTCAGGGAGGGGGGCAGCCACAGTCCACATCCACAAAAAAAACCACAAACAGCCCCACTCCTGGGCACCACGCCAACAGCCCCAGCACTCTGGGTATTGCCGTCAGGGGTCAGATAGGAGGCTGGGAATCCCAGGGCTGGCTCCTCTGGTCTCACCTTCGAGACAGAGCCTCAAAAGCACCCAGGGACAGCACCCATCTAGCTAGGATGTCTCCACCCGTGGCAGTGCCTGGTACAGTTGCTTTGGTGTCACTGCCAGTAAGGCATGTAGGAATTCCCGGTACCACCTCTGTAGAGGCCCCCCTCCATGAGGCCCCCTCCCCACATGGGGAGCATCTGCATTCACAGCCCTCCACACAGTTTCCACACAGCTGTGGCCCTTAGCCCAAACATTTACCCTCCTCTGGTCTACACCGACCTTTCACCATTGCAGCTCCATTCATAGCAACAGCAAAAGCCCTTACGTGAACTGAATGCCATTGCTTTTAGCCACTGCTGCCCACCCCTCCCGCTCACAAGAGCTCTGGATAACATGAGGTTAAGTCTCAGCAGTAGATGTGCCCCAATGGCAGCACAACCCAAATATTGAACTGAAGACAAGGCTCCAATGTCTATCACACTGTCAGCTACAGTGGAGAGACCCCTTTTGCGCTAGTGGCTACCTTATTGCCAGCCCAAGGAAAGGAAGTGACCAGGTCACTTTCCACAAACCTTCTGGCTGATGAAATCTATTAAATGACTGTTTCCTGGCTGACTATTTGTGATGTAATTGGAAACAACATGTGAAAACTGCTGTTTCTGGAAACTTGGAGTTTTGTGGCTAACAGACATGGTCTCACATGTCAAATCAAACTGCTTCCGTTACATTGTGGACATAATTCAGCAAAACTAAGTCTGTCTTCTCTAGCAGTCCCACCCCACACAAGGTAGTGCCAGAGACCTGTCTGCACAAGCTTAGGTTTGGTATGATCATGTGAACACCACACTTACGGACACTTAGCAGCACTATCAAGTCACCTATTCACAAAAAGGAATACGTATTTGTATTATACACAGGATTAGCTGCAGAGGACTTTAATCTGATGTAGCAATTTCTGTTTTATCACAGGTGGTGCCCTGACCGTAGGCATCACTAAGGATGTTAACTAGTGGTTAATTTACTAGTCGATAGGCACTTCCGCATTCCCCCTCTGAAACGTACAACCACCCCCCACTGGGACTCTTCTACATTGCAAAGGAGGAATGCGGAACTCCACGTGCAGCCAGGGCCAGTGGGAAGTCCCACCGACTCCCAGCTGCATGCCGGTGCCAGCTTTGAAACGTACAAAAGTCCTCAGCAGAGGCTCCTGTGCATTTCAAAGAGCCAGCACAGCATGGAGCCTGGGCTCAATGGGGGACTAAGTCCTCTGCTGTCCCTGGGCTCCATGCTGTGCTGCCAATTTGAAATGCCACACAAAGCCTGGGTGATCACAGGTTCCGCGGAAATGACATGCTGGAGCCTTGGATCAAATGGGGAATCCTAGCTGATCCTGGGTTCAGCTGTGCGGCGCTGCCCCTTTGAAGTACCTCCTCTTCCCCCACCTCTGCTGCCTCTATCTGAAATTGACTAGTCAACTGACTATCCAATAATTATTTGCTTATCTGACAGTTGACTTGTCCTTAACATCCCTAGCCAGCACCAGATACGACGCAGTATGCTGCTAGCATCCGCCATCATGGAGTTCTGAAATAAACAGAGTCATAGGGGAAGCTACTTCTCAGTCCCAAGAAATTGGGTTTTGTGAGGGACTCACTCCTTATACATTCTATTCTGCCTCTATAAGCATGATCTTATTTAATCTACTGGCCTCAGAGATAGCACAGATTATGCCTCCTGTGAACAAGTTTCCCCCCCTTTATTAGTTTTAGGAGTTACCAAAATGTCACTCAATAGCCTGCCTGCCTTTCCTCACGCTAAAAGAACAAAGGGACATTTAAGTTTGCTGTCTATAACCTTTATTATTGTATCTGCCTCCAATACATCAGATCTCATTAGTCTCCTCTCTGAACAGTCCTCACACTTTTTATCTTTCCTTCCCATACAGCAGTCCCTCCAGGCCTCTAGTCATTTGAGCCCCTTCTATTTCTGCTATCTTTTTTGAGATGGGTGACAATTTCATTTAAGAAATGTTAAAAGACACTTTTTAAGTTGATTTTCAACAAAGTGGTGGAAAAGGCGGCGTTACAGATGGCAAATAGGAAACAGAGGCCGAAGACATTTGATGAAGCAAAGCTGAAGAAAGTGATATCTGGGTTTGACTGGAGCCAGACAGAAAAGTGTGATGAGGACTATAGTATCTTTGCTGACAAGCTGAGATGTTGCTTAAAAGCAGCTGAAATTGAAAAGTTGAAGAAGGTGAAGGGAAGAATCTCGAAAGGAATGAAAAGCCTGCTGGAGAAGCGAAGAAACATGAAAAGGAGCTCAGATAACATCGAGTACTCCATTCTATGCAAGCTTATACAGCAAAAGCTGAAGGATGACTGAGAACTTCCGGAAAGAAAAACTCCTCAAAACAGCTGAATCACACAAAAGCTTCAGGACATGCAAGCGGGAATTGACGCAGTATAGGACTGAGCATAACAGCACTGAAGAACAAGGATGGAGAGACAGTAATCGACAGAGCAGGGATGGAGGAGGTCTGGTAAGGAATTCTACATAGAACTATTCAAATCAAGAATCAACGTCCCCCTCCCAATGCTCCAGGAGTCAGAAGAACGCGTCCCCCAATAATCGTCAGTGAAATGCAAAGAGTACTATACCAGATGAAGAAGGGAAAAGCTCCAGGCAAAGATGGAATAACGTCAGAAATGATTTCTGCAGGAGGCAAAAAACTTTGGAAGGCCCTCGCTTTAAGATTAAATTGATATCTTGAAGGAAAAATACCATCAAGCTGGAAGGAGTCAAATACCATCTTGCTGCATAAGAAGGGTGATCAAGAAAATCTTAAGAATTACCACCCTATATGCCCACTCTCTCATATTTACAAGCTCTTTACAAAGGTGATAACGAACCAACTTTCGCAGAGCTTGGATGAACAACAGTCAAGAGAGCAGGCAAGGTTTCGAAGAAATTTCAGCACGATCAACCATATATTTACCCGTATCCAGCTCCTAGAAAGAGCGAGGGAATACAAACTTCCGCTGTGCATTGCTTTTGTGGACTATGAAAAGGCCTTTGATAGCGTCGAGTTCAATGCAATATTAAAGGCACTCGCAGAGCAGGGCATTAACAAGCAATACATCAATTTGTTGACGGAAACGAATACTGGATGTACAACAGATATTACTCTCCTCGAAACTCCCCTCCATATCCCAATCGAGAAAGGTGTGAAGCAAGGAGATATGATTTCACCAAAACTATTCACTGCATGCCTCGAAATGGTTATGAACAAGATCAACTGGAGGAGTGATGTCAACATAAATGGAGAGTGATTATCTCATCTCAGATTTGCGGACGACATAGTATTAATTGCTGAAAGCACCAACCAATTGCAGAGCATGCTACGAAGATGTGACAAGAAAAGCAATCAGGTCGCTCTGAAAATGAACCATGCAAAACGAAATACATGCGATCAGACGTTTTACGAAAAGCCCAAATAACGACAACAAGAGAAGAAATCGAAGAAGTGGAACAGTACATATATTTAGGCCAAGAAGTTAATATGCGCCAAGACCTGAACTGAGAACTCTCGCGAAGGATTTGGGCAGGATGGTGGGCATTCAATTCCATCAAGGACATCCTCAAAGGGAAAAAATCGATAAGACCACACGTACAAATATCTTCAATTCAACAGTGGTGCCAGCCATGTCGTATGGCAGCGAAACATGGGCACTGACGAAGAGAGAAGAGCAGCAAATATTGGTAGCTGAAAGGGTAATGGAGTGAGCTATATTGGGAATTTCCCTCCTGGATCGTATTCCAAATGAAATGATTAGAGAACGCAGTGGCGTAAAAGATATTATTGTGGAAAGCAGACAAACTGCAATGGGCAGGCCACACAGCACGGCTCACAGACAATAGGTGGACCGTAATTATTGCTGAGTGGTACCTGCGAGAACAGAAAAGACCATCCCGTTGGCCTCCAAGAAGATGGGAAGATGACATTGTTAAATGTTTTGGATGAACATGGAGAAGAAAGGAGAGAGTGCAAGAAAAATGGTGGACGTGTTGTGATTGGCGCAATCTTAACGATAGCTGAAGACCAATCGATCCAGGTGAAGACACTTTTGGGGTTTCCTTCTCATAATGAGACAGACTATGAAAAACTGTTAGGGATTGTGGGATATAACCTTGCTTTGTGTCCATCCAATGCACCCAAAAAGTGTCTCTAAACTCATTCTTAGAAGGGGATAGTGGAACTATTCTCGTCAGCATAATTTAAAATGCATAAACACATGAAAAGAAGTTTTTGATGGTGATTTAATTTTGTTGATAGAAATCAGTCTCTTGCAAATTTATCACTGCTACTCATGAATGCACTTCTTTAATTGTTTCCATGCAATTGCTCCAAGAAATCACAGGAACATATTTGCTTAAAGCCGTTGGTTAAAATTTCCAGATACTATTAGTGTCACAGCTGGAAAGGAAGCCCCCCTCTTTCTTCCCATCATTATCCTCAGGCCCGTCTCCAATGCAGGCCCCATACCAGTGACAGACTTTCAACAGGGGCATTTTATTTACCAGTCACACTGCCCTAAGACTAAAGATACTTTGACCAAAAAATCTCACTCTCTCTAGTGAAATGGTTTTAGTGGATTTGCCCCAGTTTAGACCTCACAATGCCTTGAACGAAGACGACAGACAACTGAACATAGGTTTAAATCAGGCTAACTACAGGGATCCTCAGGAATTTCTACTAGAATTCTTTCTTTATACTGTAGGCATGTTTCTGGAGGGTTGCCAGGGAGCGGAACAATAAGAACACCACCAATCTTCAACTGATACACTTTGTTACTGTTCACCACCAAAATTCCCTTTAATCTTTTCCATCCATGAATGGAATAAATCTGCACATGTGCAGAATACTTTCATGTGCACCAAGGCATGCACAAACATGCTCCACCAGCAGAAACACACACACTAGTGTGGGTGCTCTACTAAGTATATGGGCGGCTTTTGAGTTTCTCCTGAGCAGTCGCACAAGCGCCCAGTCACAGGGAACTCTGTTCACCCATTCACCGGGAACTCTGTTCACCCATTCACCACTTCCTTGAAACAAAACATTCAGATCAAACATGGAAGTAACAGATTTCATAAAAACACTCAGAGAAACTATTTTTGCTGTAGGGACAGCAGGATGTCACCACCACAAACACTCCCAGAGAGAAGAAAGCCTTTACCTATGAAGTTAGGTGCAAGAATAGGAGTGTCAGAATTGAGGCAAACAGGAGAGCCCTTCGAAGGGAACCCCAAGGAAGGGAAGTAACCTGGAAAGACAAAACACATCAGCAAGTGCAGCCCAAGAGACAGTATTCAGAGGTGAAGTTGACAATGCCAGCTGAAGCTGGTTAGCTTTGGAGCAGAGGAAAACCCATGGAGATGTAGCATGGCTCTATTTATTATACCCCACAAATCCTGAAGTTCTCTCCACTGATATGCCATATTACTATTTCATCGTCTAGAAAACACCTACTCATTGTAGAGACTACAGGCTTCACTAGTATCAGGCCTGGTTAACATCAAGTATTCCAGCAGCAACCAGGCATTCAGAGACCATCGTAGGCTTGCTTTCCCCACCAAACTCATCAGAAAAGCAGCCCTCTTGTATGAAACATTCATACAAGTTCAGCCCATGGCAGATTTCTTCCACATTTCGCTAAGAAGAACTAGCTACTGGTCAACGTGTCTCCATCCCACTTATCGGTGAAACCTCATGGCATGGAACCTCTTCTACTCTGCTGCCAGCTGGGACTGTCACTACCATAAGAGTCTTGCCAGAAAATGGGGATTTCCCCTCTAAAAGCAAGTCATAGCAGCCACTATTTTCTGTCTCCGATTCCTCTCCACTGGTTTTTAAATGTAGCTCCAGCTGCAATTCTGAAATTCCATGATGTTAAATTTCTTCCAGCCCCTTGCAGTTCTGGACTGGGTCATGGACTCTACACCACACACCTTGGTATGTGGTAGGGAGGAGATGAGATGGCCAGAGAGCTGGCAGAAAAGGGGAAGAATCAGAGAAGGAAGCTGGTCAGCTCCAGAAAGTGATGCAAGCAGCAGAGCAAGGGAGAAGTCTCTGGTAAAACAACCCCGCCCCAATTCATTTTAAAGTTGCCTGCATTTCAATTATATATATGGCTGTACATCTATCAAGCCCCGGATAATACTATATCAAGTAAAACAATAAGTATTTAATCTTCAGGGGAAATTTCATGAATATGTACGTCAGTGGTTTCATGTCCCTCACATTGGGGGTCCATTCATCTAATTCAAATGGGCAATTATGTTATCTGCCCTCCCTGTGGTATTGCTTGTCTCCCTCCAATTCCTTCTCACATCTCATGTCAGGCAGTCATAGGAACAAATGTCCACTTCTGGCTGCTATGTTAATAGAGCATTGTATATTTCTCTTCCTCCTCACACAAGCTTTTTAGAGAAGCTCGTCAATTTCATGTTGGTGAGAAGCACTGGACTGATAGATTAAAGGCTCTGTCCATGAAGTATGGTAAACACGAGCAGGTAATTCAAACATCTTTCACACCATCCCACTAATACCCTTCCACTATAATCTGCAAAAACCACCTCTCAGCACTACATGGAAAAAAGACCCCAATGCTCCATTTAATCACTGGCCTCATCTTTATCATAAGCTGGTATTTTGGGATGTGGGCCCCTGTCAAATGGGAACAGGCAAGACCAAATTCACTCCACTTAAGACTGCCACGAGCCATCAGATATTGGCACCTTCCAGTCACTATTGACCTGAGCTTGTTTTGTTCTGGGGACTTAGAAGCAGAAAGGTTGATAATCCATTACCCCCAAGTTACTGAGACATTCAGTATCTTAGATTTTTGAGAATAATACTTTAGCTACATCTGTAATTGAGTAGTGCTTTGTTGTTACTGCAACCAAAATAGAGTTGAGCAGAAAGGGCTAAAAAGTAAAAACAGCCAATGGTCTTGAAAAGTACCCTCAAGCCTTACATCACTGTAGTATCCAACAAAACCAATCAGCAGTTTCATTTCATAGACATCAGAAGGGGTAAACAGAGAACATGGCATTGTTCCCCCAGAACTAACTCCCAGATTCTGATTACAGTAGGAGGACAAATATTAAACTTTCCATAGTAGTTCCTAATGAAAATCTGAACTAATGTCATCTTAGCAGAAGTGATTCCAATCATGCACACAACAGTGAAGGGCTGACAGTCATCAGTGGTTGACATAGTATTAGGTATCAATGGCAGAATTGTAGCCCATAGGAGTCCAACTTTTTTACAGACACAAGGTACATTTTTTCATGAAAATTGAGTTATTTAGTTGCTTTCCCTCCACCATAATCTAAGAGTTGTGCTCTTCAGTTGCTTTTCTGCTGGGACTGCATTGTTTTGTTACAGCTGTCTTAGAGAAGATGGAGAACGTTAGATCTGCCTTGCAAATAGAAACGAAATAAAAGCAGATCTTATTTGGATCATCACTGACAGTAAACCAATAATGTTTATTTATTCATTTATTGTTACTGGGGCCACATGTCTACTGGTCATTTCACCAACTCTACCACAGACTGAGTATGTGTAAGCCACAGATCTTTTCTGCAGATGAGTATGGAGCTGCCTCAGTCACATGCCTTTGCCACTATTACTGCTCTCAATCTAAGCTTAGCTTAGATTCCCTGTGCATTCTTGCTTCCTGACTACATGAGTGGGGGAACTATAGGGAACAAGCTGCCACTGGATTGTCTTAACTTTTAATCTGTAGGATAACAAAACATGTAAGCCCACAGTGAGCTGCTCAAATGGCATCTATGCAACAGTGTGATGCTGCATCACAACAAAACCCATCTTTTACCTTGATTTCCAAAGAGTTAGCAGGGTCATTTATATTAGCATTTAGCTAACAGCAGCCCACCAGCTCTGGAAAAGCATTTCCAATGCACCCAGAAACTCAGACTATAAGCTGCTATGTCTTGATTAAGAGTACCTGGTGGAGGAGCTGGCTGCTGATACCCCGGCATCGGACCATTGTAAGCTCCATACTGAGAATGATGAACTGCAGGCATTTGCTGCCCTCCATAACCAGACTGCTGGTATCCCTGATATCCAGGCTGAGGCTGCCCATAAGGAAGCCCTGTGTGAGCTTGCTGGTTTACACTCATTGTGTTCACATCCCCAAACTCGTCTCACCTGCAAGGAGGAGATAAGAGAGAACACAATTAGAAAACAATAGTCCAAACTGCAGCCCTTGCTATGAAAGCAGCTGAGCAGGAGCTGGCTACTAGTAAGCCTGAGAAGCTAGAGGAGGAAGTGTATTAGTAAAACATTCTCACTTGGCTTCAATGAACTAACTGCCTTTGGAATTCCTGGGAGAAGAGAATTGTTATCTACATAAAGAAAATGCTTTACAATGACCTTAAGTGCTGGTAACACCACTGAGAATCACCATCAGCACACCACCTCCTACAAAATGCCTCAAATAATACTTTGCACTCATGTCACACTGAAGAATTATTAAGCCTCACACCACCCAGAAGAAAACTATTGCCGCATTTCAGACAGAGAAGCTAAAGGAATACAGGTGTCATGCCCGAGATGAACTTCTCAACAGCAGAATGGAACTGTACTGAGGAGCTCCTAGCCCCACGCCCTGTGCTTAGCTTGTTACACCTTGCTTCCTTGATACAAATGGATGTGTACTAATTACGTCAGCGCACAGAATCCAGAATAATTTTAAAATGTCATCTTGACACTAAGTGGATATAATTTAAATCCTATTTATCTCCATAATGAAATTTAAAATGACAAATGCTCAAGAGAGACTTAACATTCAAGGGGAACACATCTCAAGCTAGGAGAGGTATATGGGCAGAGTTACATGAAGGCCAGGCCATGAAGGGTAGGGAAATATCTTTGCTTCTTTCAAAAAGGCCAGAAAGAATTCTCCATCTGCATAAGAATCAGGACTACAGAGGATTATGCCTTCTGGCCAAGCACATCAAATCTGACTCCTTGTTTTCAGGGCTGGGTTTACACTCACTCAAGCATTAGATCAATCACTTCCAATTAAGATCTCATGCAGTCCTAGCCTAGAAAGCAAGAAAAAAAACACAATATAGATACTTCTCTTAGGACCCAATATATAGAATCAAGCTTAGCTATCAAATAAATATGGGACTTTCTGGTCAAAGCCATTAGCATAATTGCCAGAGTTATGGTCAGTTGCCTTCAGAGCTACAGTGGAAAAATCTTGTGTCCAAGTAGAGAAGAAAAGGAAGCAGCTGAGAGGTTTTTTCAAAGGATGAGTAGAACAGGCAGTTCCTGGAGAGAGATCTTGGAGTCACTGTGGATTGTTCTCTGAAAACATCCACTCAATGTGCAGTGACAGTCAAAAAACAAGCAGAATGTTGGAAACCATTAAGGGATAGAGACTAAGACAGAAAATATATTGCCTCTATATAAATCCATGGCATGCCCACATTTGGATAGAGGCCATCCTCGCTATAAGACAAAGATATATTCCAAAAAATTTGGCCTTACAGTGAAACAACTTAAAGCGGGGAAGTTTTTTCCTGTGGCTGACTTCCATTTGCATGACTTAAGAGCAGAGAATGGGAGGACTTATCCGTTCCTACAAGCAACAATGACTTTAGCGTGGAATGGATGTATACTGGGGCGACTTATGGTGGGAACACTCCTGTACTGCATGCAGATGTGGTTGCCTCATCTCAAAAAAGATATACTGGAATTGGACAAGGCTCAGAAAAGGGCAACAAAATGATGACAGGCATGGAACTTCAGTCATATGAAGAGAGATGAATAAGACTGGGGCTTTTCAGCTTGGCAAAAAGATGACTAAGGGGGACATGATAGAGGTCTACAAAATCATGACTGGTGGGGAGAAAGTAAACAAGGAAAAATTATTTACTTCTTCCCATAACACAAGTAGTAACGGGTCACCAAATGAAGTTAATAGGCACCAGGCTCAAAACCAACAAAAAGTGTTACTTCATTCAATACACAGGCCAAGACTAACAGGGTTCAAAAAAGAGCTAGGTAAATTCATGGAGGTTAGGTCATGAATGACTATTAGCCAGGAAGGAAAGGAATGGTGTTGCTAGCCTTTGTTTTGTCAGGGCTGATTAATCATTTGATGATTTCCTGTTTTGTTCATTTCCCTTGGGGCACCTGGTATTGTCACAATGTAGGAACTAGTTCTTCTCAGATCAGAGAAGTCCATGGCACCAATCTTACCCCCACAGAACAGTGGAATTCACATATCTGTTAACAGCACAAGTTTGCATCAGAACTGAGAATTCCATGATGCTCACCTGAAGAAAACATTTCTGAAGGAAATTTTGAGAGAAGAGATCTGACATCCTGAAACTCAAGGCCTAACACCTGGGAAGGTTCTGAGTTAGCTGACAATCCCCTCCACTAGAGTCTTGGGAGGGGGTCAGCTACTTTATTATGCCTGGTCAGACTGATCTGACCAGCGCAGACCCACTCAAAGAACCAGCTGTGTCTTTATGGAAGTGCCTTTTTCTTACCGGGCAGCTTAATAAAACTGCTGGAATCACAGCTGGTGTTTTCTTCATTCAAAGAGTCTGACCCTAAATCAATGGAACTTGTTACTGTTCCTTTAGAGACACTTTGATGAAAGGACATGCCTTTTCAACCTGAGACTTTACAGTGCAGAAGCAAGGAAGATGTAGATGGTACCCTACCTATGCTGAAGGCACCTTTTGGGGGATGTGGTACACCAGATTTATGAGCTAACAGAGAATTTGGATACAACAGGTCCTGAAACAGAGTTTTACTATTTTTATCTGGAAATGGGTGACAGGGGTGGGATCACGTGAGGATTACCTGTTGTGATCCCTCCCTCTGGGGCATCTGGTATTGGTCACTGTTGGTAGACAGGATATTGGGCTAGATGGACCTTTGGTCTGACCCAGTATGGCTGTTCTTTTGTATGAAGTTTATCAGAAGGTCTTGCAGGCTTTATAGTCTTTAGTTAAATGCTTTTCCCTAATGCATACAAAACATATTCACCATTCTAAGGCAGGGATCACATGGGCAAGGGAAGCCGTCTCCAACCATGGTTTGGCTGACTGATCCCTCAACTTGGGCAAGACCCAAGTTGACCTATTTACAGTAATGTGACAAAAATTGTTGAAAATGTCAAGTAAAATTTTAACTTAGCCTAAACCTAACTTTAATCACACAACTATTTTAGTATCAGAGGGGTAGCTGTGTTAGTCTGGATTTGCAAAAGCGACAAGGAATCCTGTGGCATCTTATAGACTAACAGATGTTTTGGAGCATAAGCTTTCATGGGCAAAGACCCACATGCATCTGACGAAGCTTATGCTCCAATACATCTGTTAGTCTATAAGGTAGTTGTGACAAGGAGTCCTGTGGCACTTTAGCTACTTATAATAAGATTTTTGTTTATACTGCAACAGAAAAAAAAAGATGGCTCTGTGACTTATGGCAGAGAAGAAAAAACTAAAGGACTGCAAGTGTGTCTATTTACATGATCTTTGGAACATAGGCTCCAGAGACACAGATGGAACCCCAACTATTTATCAGAAAGGTTCCTCAGCACCTTGCCTATATATGCAGCTACTTCACACATCATTCTCACATCTTGCTGCCTAGGAAACTATGTGGACTTTCTTCCCTGAACTTCGCACACTTTAGTACACTTGATAAAAAGTTGTAACCGTTTAAGATTTGTACATGATAGTAGGGTCAGGAAGAAATTATGTTAAGTAGTTACAGATATGGAATAGTAAAACCAAAATATACAACCTACTAAAATTGTACTCACATAGCTCTAAACATACAAATGGCCATACTGGGTCAGACCAAAGGTCCATTTAGCCCAGTATCCTGTCTGCCAATACAAAATGCCCCAGAGGGAGTGAACACAACAGGAAATCATCACGTGATGGTTCTCCTGTCATTCATTTCCAGATAGAAGATAAACATTCTGCTTATATATATCCTTCACACAGTATTTTTTTCCAAGGCCAAACTATCCCTTTTTATATTTTGGCACACCACCAACTGTATTTTGAGCACTACTGTAGCACACACAATAAATAATCACTTTTTACAAGATGGAAAAGGTTCCAAATTACTCATTCTTCGAGCTTCCCAGTGCAACACATCATCTTCACCTAGTCTTTCAGACAGTGAGCTCTTCAGAGCAGAAACTGTCACTATACTGAGTCTTGCTCAGCAATGAGAAAATCAGCCTAAAAAATACATTCTTAACATATGAACTCACTTCCACAGGAGCCAACACCGAGTTCTTCCCTTGCCTCTTCCTTGGAGGGTTTGAGGCTGACGACAACCTCGGTCACGTTTTGTAACAAGCTCTCAGTTACCATCAATTAACTCTAGAGTTAAGGAGTAACAAGGCTACAGGAAGAAAACAGCCCGAGTCAGAAACTAGCAGCGAGGGCCAGAGGCCAGGAAGGAAACACAAGAGCTGTGCCCCCCCCGCCTAGCTCACCCACTGGGATCACAGCCCTCCAGCCAATGGGGGTCGCTCACCCACTGGGATCACAGCCCTCCAGCCAATGGGGGTCGCTCACCCACTGGGATCACAGCCCTCCAGCCAATGGGGGTCGCTCACCCACTGGGATCACAGCCCTCCAGCCAATGGGGGTCGCTCACCCACTGGGATCACAGCCCTCCAGCCAATGGGGGTCGCTCACCCACTGGGATCACAGCCCTCCAGCCAATGGGGGTCGCTCACCCACTGGGATCACAGCCCTCCAGCCAATGGGGGTCGCTCACCCACTGGGATCACAGCCCTCCAGCCAATGGGGGTCGCTCACCCACTGGGATCACAGCCCTCCAGCCAATGGGGGTCGCTCACCCACTGGGATCACCAGCCCTCCAGCCAATGGGGGTCGCTCACCCACTGGGATCACCAGCCCTCCAGCCAATGGGGGTCGCTCACCCACTGGGATCACCAGCCCTCCAGCCAATGGGGGTCGCTCACCCACTGGGATCACCAGCCCTCCAGCCAATGGGGGTCGCTCACCCACTGGGATCACCAGCCCTCCAGCCAATGGGGGTCGCTCACCCACTGGGATCACCAGCCCTCCAGCCAATGGGGGTCGCTCACCCACTGGGATCACCAGCCCTCCAGCCAATGGGGGTCGCTCACCCACTGGGATCACCAGCCCTCCAGCCAATGGGGGTCGCTCACCCACTGGGATCACCAGCCCTCCAGCCAATGGGGGTCGCTCACCCACTGGGATCACCAGCCCTCCAGCCAATGGGGGTCGCTCACCCACTGGGATCACCAGCCCTCCAGCCAATGGGGGTCGCTCACCCACTGGGATCACCAGCCCTCCAGCCAATGGGGGTCGCTCACCCACTGGGATCACCAGCCCTCCAGCCAATGGAGTCGCTACCCAAATTGGCCCCAAGTGTGGTGGTGCCATCACCATTTCAATGGACACTGAACTCAGGGATCACCAGACAGTCACCCAATGGGTCACAAAGTTGACATTGTTAGCTGCTCATCCCCTGTAACACAAGCTCAATGAGTTCACCAGCCCCAGAGCCAATGGCCTCACTTGCCCACTGGGCCAGAAGCTGTGGTGGGTCACCACCCTCTCACTGAATAGGCCATGAGCTAACTTGACCCAGTGAAGTTACCAGCCTCTTACCCATAGGTAGGGCACTACCAAATTCACAGTCCATTTTGGTCAATTTCATGGTCATATGATTATTAAACATGGTAATTCTCATTATTTCCGATATTTAAATTTGAAATGTCACATTGTTGTACTAGTAGGGGTCCTGAACCACACAGTAGTTGTGAGGGGCTTGCAAGGTTACTGTATGGGCATTGCGGTATTGCTACCCTAACTTCTGCACTGCTGCTGAGAGCAGTGCTACCTTCAGAGCTGGGCAGCTGGAGTCTGAAGGCAGAGCTGCCGCTAGCAGCTGCGCAGAAGGAAGGATAGCCTGGTATGGTGTTGCCCTTAGAGCTGGGCCCTTAGTCAGCAAATACCACTCCCTGGCCACCCAGCTCTGAAAGCAGCAGTACAGAAGTAAGGGTGACATCAGTATTGTTGGGATATGTAAAAATGAATAGGGGTCTGGGATAGTGGTAAGGGGTCAGCCACAGCAGGCATTGTCTTTAAACATGTTTTTCCCCTTTATCCTGGCAGCCTTGGTTGCACTGAACAGTGTCTTGTTTTGTCTTCGCACTTGTTCTGTAAAAATATTTGCTGGGTCAAAGTGCTTTTCTCCTCTCTAAAAGATGCTGCCAAAGACAGTATGTAATGCTGATTCAGCTAAAAACCAGTAAGCAACAAACAGGGGTGGGTATAACTGTATTCGTCACCTGCTTATTAATATTCATTGTATGCTATTTTACATTACTAAATAAGGCTTTAGGGAAAGTAATGATCGACGTGTGAATTAACATACTAAAGTAGATAAAAGGGTGTAATTGGTGCCATGTTGTTGCCACTTGGAATGATGTGTTGGGGATTCAAGGTTAACGTGCATGGGCAATAAAGCAGTTCCGTTTACCCCATCTGCTCCTGGGTCGCCTGTTTCTTCTCTAACAAGTATAGTATTTACCACCATCACTTCTGTGCTGCTGCTGGCAAAGTGCTGCCTTCAGAACTGGGCTCCTGGGCAGCAGTTGCCACTTTCTAGCTGCCCAGCTCTGAAGGCAGCACTGCTGCCAGCAGCTGCACAGAAATAAGGATGTGGATGCCCGCGGACATAAAAGTGGAAATCTGCGGATTTGCAGGGCTCTAGTTCCATGCTCTTAGCTGTGGAAGCCAGATTCCTGTTGCACCAAAAATCATTATGGCTGGTTTGTTCCCTTGCAACAAACCCCGTTGCCAGCTTTGTCCACATATTCATTCTGCTGATACCATTATTGGACCTAACCAAGTGAGCTATAAGATCAAGAACACATATTCCTGCGCATCCAGAAATATAATCTATGCTATCATGTGCCGAAAGTGTCCGTCTGCTATGTACATTGGACAAACATCTCAGACACTTCGCCAAAGGATTAATGCCCACAAAACAGATATCAGACAAGATCACAAAGAGAAAACAGTTTCTTGCCACTTTAACCAGAAAGGACACTCTCTAAATGACTTAGCCACCTGCATTCTGCTACAAAGACCTTTTACATCTGCACTTGAAAGGGAATCCTCTGAACTGTCATTCATGTTAAAATTCGACACTTGCCAACAAGGACTTAACAAACATTTGAACTATCTCACCCATAACCAAGATAGTTTCCCCAATTATCACCTCTAATACCATTAACTCACAAACACCCCCCTCTCCCTACCTCTAATATCATCAATTCACAGACACTTACCTTCCTTCCCCCTCCCCCCCACCGCATCCCCCTCCTGTTCTGCAATGTGATTTGTCCTTTTCATATTTGTTCTTTTTTTTAATTGTATCCTTTGGTATATACGGTTGTGACTACTTTCTTCCACTATTTGATCTGAGGAAGTGGGTCTGGCCCACGAAAGCTCATCATCTAATAAACCATCTTGTTAGTCTTTAAAGTGCTACATTGTCCTGCATTTTGCTTCAACTACCCCAGGCTAACACGGCTACATTTCTATCACCAATCTGGAGGGGAGCTAGAGCGTTAGTGTGGGAACCTTGAGTCTCGAGGGCCACACTCACGTGAGCTGGGGTATTAGGTTCATGGCTGGGGACTTCCTTAGCTGCATTGGGTACCCAGGGCATCTTCCATGCCTTGTCACACACTAGGGATGTTAAGAAGGGGGAATTTAATGAATTGAGTAGTCAACACATTTTTTTCGATTACTCAATTAGTCGATAGGCAGCTGGCTCAGTCCTGGACTGGGCCAGATCTGGGACCAAACCCGCTGTGGCTCTGCAATTTAAAAGGCAGTAAGAGCCAGGCAGACTGTCCCCTGGCTCCTACTGCGTTTTAAATTGCAGAGCTGTAGCAGAGTTTGGTTCTGGACCCCGCGCGAATGGGGACCAGGCTGGGCTCCCTGCCTGCCGGGCTCCTACTACATTTTAAATGGTAGTAGCCCTGGCCCCGGGGAATGCACAGTAAGAAGAGCTCCTGCCAGTATTCACAGATATAAGGGAAAATGTTTCTCCATTCAGATTCCCTGAGCCAGGCCAACAACTGAGCCTGCTGCAAGGGAGTTTGATCTAGTGTCATATCTCTTTCTGCAGCTGTCATTTTAATGACTCCTGAGTGCTGGGTGAGCCCAGGAGCTCTCGTGGGAGTGAGAAGCAGAAATATCAGTTTTTACTGAAATGCTTAAAAGAAATCCCTCCAGCTTTAAGGGCATGAGACAAAGCTCTAGAGACAGACAGGAGGTGAGCTATTTTCAGCCACACGGTTGGAGAGATGGGGGGGGGTGAGTGAGTGAGATTGACATGACACATGTGAGGGACAACTCTGGCCCCTTACCAAAAGCAGAATCAAATACTAAATCATAGGCAGCAGAGCCGCTGAGAGTGCAGAAGAGCAGGGAGGCTGGGTTCATGGGTAGAAGCTCTCCTCTCATGCTTGAGGGAGAAAGTGAGGAGAGGGCTTTCCAGGCAATTCCAGAAAAGGTAGAGATGGAAGGGGGAGCTGCTACCCCGTAAGAGCTGGGGGTTTGCCTTGAAGAGGGGAGGAGGCTATCAGAGAAGACAAGAAACCAAAAGCACTGAAGTCATGGGAGCTGAAGATGAAGTGCTGGTCACGCTGTCTGGTGGGCCCCCCTGGGGCTTCCGGCTGCAGGGGGGCTCTGAGCAGAAAAGGCCCCTTCAGGTGTCAAAGGTAGGACTGGAGGACGGTAACTGTTCAGAGCAAGGCAGCGCACTTGATCCCAGATGTGCTAGGAGAGCCGCTGCCGTTAAGGAATGCTCTACTAACACAGAGGGTCTGAAAGGAGACGTGGGTGGGGTGGTCTGGCAGTGCGCGGGGAAGGCTGAACATTCTGAAACGTGTGTTACTGAGATGAAAATAGACAGCCAACGGGCAGGTGAGGGTCTGCTTCCACTGATGCACATCACTGCTCTGCACAGCAGAACTGTGACAATCCGGACACTTCATAAGTTGCTCAGTTCTCCTCACTTATCAGCAAAGCTGTAAAAGCAGTTCATATTACAGAGGCTTCATGATTTGTGTAACACATCCAGCAGCACATTCTGAAGTGTGCAAAACATTACAATTATTTGACAAGGGTCAAATTAACGGAACCAAAGCCATTTTGTGATACAGTGTCTGTGGCTTTTCTTTATCTGTATGTGTTCATTAACTTGCAGTATTCTACCATCACAATGGGTCTCACAGCCATCAATGCAAATCACTGTGGGTCTCCTGTTTTGGCAGAAGCTATGTAATTGCTTGCTAAGCTGAATGAGAGCAGCAGCTATTGGTTCAGAGTCCAAGAAACTGAAGGTAGGAGAGGGAAGGATGAGCAGGAATCAAGATGACCCTTGAAGTGCATGCTTACCGATGTGCAGTTGCTGTAGGTCTCTCTTTTCTTTGCTCAAAGTGATCGTAGAGGAGTGCTGAAGTATGACAGCTAGAAGAAAAATTCCTCGGCTTGCTTAATGCACAGCTACTGCCTTAGGCTTGACCCATGGATATTTAAGATGCCACGAGCCGCAGCAGCAAGGGCAGGAAGTGGGTATAACCAGAAGCTTCTGGTTTCTTAGGAAGTTTGTCCCTATGTACAAGCTTTGGAAAAGGGCTTGTTCTGCAGAAGTTCAGCCAAATGACACAGAATATCATATCTTGGTCCCCAGCGGCAGGTCCCTAGAGCAGGGAAGGAGGATGATCACCACCAGGAGAATTTCTTCACATATGCTGTGGGGTCCTGACTGCTGTGGGGAAACAAAGCCAACACCAATGAGCTTAGCTAGCCAGAGGTTCTGTGCAGAATGAGGGTTTTGGCATTCCCATAAACTGTGCCAAGTCCCCAAGGTTATTTCTGTTGCCAGTTCTGCATGGCACTTAGGAAGGGGCTATCTGTGTGGCCAGGCCTGTCATACACAGTCAGGGAGGGAGCTGTCATTGAGACAGGCCTGCCCAGGTGGGATGGTATGGCATTCTGATAGTGCAGTGATGAATGGGGCATAGATGCATGAAAAGAGAGAGAGAGAGAGAGAGAGAGACAGAGAGAGAGAGAGAGAGAGATGGGAAAGAGATGGCAGTGAGCATGCCAAGGTGAAAAACATTGCATTAACATACATGAACTATGACTTGTGTTGTGACTCATTCAGCAGAGACTGGATGGGGAGGGCACAGGAATAAAGGTGAACTTTGAGATGGCGCTATAGATGTTATGGACATGACTGTGCTGTAGCTAGTAGGAAATGTTTGTGCAGACAAACCAGGAGGCCTGCAAAAAAGTCCAGTGATGTGATCCTAGGGAATGTCAAGGATCACATGCAGCCCAGGAAAGCCATTGTAGGAACCCCGTGGCAGGATGTACACCCATGGGACAGTACCAGATGCTTCAATATACCCACACAAATTCTAATGATATGGCAACCAGGCCAGAGTCTAATCTGGGCCTAACGTGTGGAAATGAGCCAAGCATGATGAATGGCAGATACATGGGGACATGGGCATTGCCATACTGAGTCAGTCCAATCTTACATCCTGTTTCTTGCCATGGCCAAAGCTGGATGCCTCACAGGAAGGTTTAAAACCGCCATAGTACATCTAATTATCTGTTTACTATGGAGAAAAACTATCTCAACTCAGCTTGTTATCAGCTTCTGTCCTGAGATGTGAGACCTGATAGTCCTAGTAACTGAACCCTAGTTTCACGAGGCATAAAGGAGTGGTCGACAAAGGCGTTCCCTGTCGACTGATCCACGTCTTGACTGCTGCGCTGTGCCGACGATCAGCTGACCCAGCACAGCGTGGCGGCCATTTTTATTTTAATGAAGCCGGGGATATTTAAATAAAATAAGGGATAAGGGATCTTTCGGAAAAGGCTTTATTTTCCGCAAGATCAGCGTCTAGACTGGCACTTTTTTCCGGCAAAGCTCCATGCGGAAAAAAAGTGGCAGCCATTTTTATGCTAATGAAGCGGGGGAGATTTAAATCCCCGCTTCATTAGCAATTGCGATACGTCTAATTTACATCCCTTTTCCGAAAAAGGGATGTAGTCTAGACGTAGCCAAGATGTCTACACAGAGGATAGACATGACTTTGCCTGTATGAAGTGCAAGCTAGTTTCCATATTGGAAGAGAAGGTTAAAGGACTAGAGGTTCAAGTATTAATGCTGTGTTGCATCAGAGAAAATGGAGACTTTCTGGATAGAAATCAGGGTTTGGTACTGCAGGTGCAGTGTACTGAGGAATCAGAGGCCAGTGCAGAATGGGGAAGAAAATTGGCAGCATGTGCCCTGCAGAAGAAGGAAGAGGAGAACCCATGTATCCCCCAATGCAGTAAGAAATCATATTCAGGCTCTCTGCACAGGTATTACAGTGGAGAATGACTTGGAAGCGTTATCTGAGGGAGGGAATCAAAAGGAGACCCCGTCGAGCAGAAGATATGGGATGCATCACTCTAGGGATGGGGGTTCCAATGACCACCACTCTCAAGAGGAGGAGGTGGGTGTTGGTGTTGGGGACTCCCTTCTAAGAGGGATGGAGTCATCCATCTGCCGTATAGACCAGGAAACTCAAGAAGTGCGCTGCTTGCTTGGTGCTAGAGTTCAGGATGTGACCGCATGGCTGTTGAGACTGATCAAGCCCTAGGATTGCTACTTCTTCCTACTTCTCCACGTGGGCACCAGTGATACTGCCAGGAATGGCCCTGAGTGGGTCACTGCAGATGATGTGGCTCTGGGAAGAAGGATCAAGGAGTTTGAGGCACAAGGTGTGTTGTCCATCCTCCCAGTTGAAGGAAAAGGCCCAGGGAGGGGCCATCACATTTGGAGGTAAATGCATGGTCACCCAGGTGGTGCTGAAGAGAGAGGCTTTGGATTCTTCAATCATGGGATGTTGTTCCAGGAAGAAGGATTGCTAGGAAGAGATGGGCTCCATCTATTAAGGAGAGGGAAGAGCATCTTCACAGGGAGGTTTGTTTAACCTAGTGAGGAGAGCTTTAAACTACGTTCTCTAGGGGATGATGACCTAAGCTCTGAGGTAAGGGGGAAGTGGGATATTGAAAGAAAATGCAAGAAGAAGTGTGCAAGATTCATATGTAGAAAGCAGGACAGTCAGCTAGTTATCTTAGGTACCTGCACACGAATGCAAGAAGCTTGGGGAAACAAACGGGAAGAATCTGAAGTCCTGGCACAGTTAAGGAACTATGATGTGGCTTGGTGGGATGACTCACATGTCTGAAGCACGCCCAGGGAAGGGTATCAATTGCTCAGGAAGAAGAGTTGAGGGACAAAAGGAGGAGGAGTTGCACTGTATGTAAGAGAGCAGTGTGATTGCTCAGAGCTCCAGTATGAAACTGGAGAAAAGCCTGTTGAGAGTCTGAGAGAGAAGTGAGAGCAACAAGGGTGATGTCATGGTGGGTGTCTGCTGTAGGCCATCAGACCAGGAGGACGAGGCTTCTTTCTTGGACAACTCCCAGAAACTTCCAGCTCTCCAGCCCTGGTCCCCCCAACACCTGCTGGGAGACCTGTGCACAGACAATCCTGGAAGATTCTGGAGAGCATTGGAGCAACTTCCTGATGCAAGGCACTGAGGCCTACACCTAGGCCTAGCAGCAGTCACTGAGCCTAGGCCGTGGCCCAGGGTGGGGTCTCTCAGCACGGGTGGAGGGCTGACAAGCACAGGCAGTTGGCTCAGAATTGTGGAGGGAGGGAGAGATGGTCACCCTCGGATTGGGTGGCAGGGTGGACGCAGGCCCGCCCACTCCACAGTGTCCCAGCCCAGGGCTCTAACAGTGGCAACTCAGTTAGCAGGAATCTCACCCGCAACATGCTGACTTGCAGGTGGTGGTCCAGCCAGACTAAGGTCGGCTTTCGCTGGGCTACTTCCACACCTTGCTCAAATACAGAGCCTGTGGCCGTTGGGGGGCTGGAACTTCTGTGGAAGTTCCTCAGGGCCAAAGTGTCTGCAGGCCCAGCGGTCCTGACCAGTCCTCAGCATCTTTCAGGTCTACAGGAGCCTCCCAGCAAAGTAGCATGGGGCAGGCACTTGGCTCCTTTGGCAGCTGGGGCCTGACAGAGCTCCTGAACTGGCCTTTTATAGCTCTAGCCCCGCTTCCTGACTCTGGGTCAGGTGCGGGAGTGAGGCTAGGCTCTACCCAACAGGGCTCAGGGAGGGGCTCCTCCTTCTCTGGGTCAGTGGGCGGCCACTCTACCTCACTACAACGTGATTATTCCTCTCTGAGGTCACATCTGGAGTATTGCATCCAGTTCCCATCCTCCCCGACTACAGAAAGCTTGTGGTAAAATTGGAGAGTCCAGTAGAGAGCAATGAAAATGATTTGGGGGCTGGAGCACATGTCTTACAAGGAGAGGCTGGGGGATTTGGACTTGTTTAGTCTGCAGAAGAGACGAGTAAGGGGGGATTTGGGAGCAGCCTTCAACTCCCTGGGGGGAGGGGGATCCAAAGAGGATGGAGCCAGGTTGTTCTCAGTGGTGGCAGATGGCAGAATGAGGAGCAATGGTCTCAAGTTGCAGTGAAGGAGGACTAGGATGGCTATTAGGACCAAGGACTTCACTAGGAGGGTGGGGAAGTACTAGAATGGGCTACCTAGGGAGGGTATAGAATATTTTCTGTTCCTTTCCTAAGCCATCATGTAATTTGATTTGTATTCGTGTGTGTGCTACTGTTGCTGCACCTTGAGCCAA